ATATATATATATATATATATGCGTTATAAGTGTGACACCCTGTACGCGCTCATACACACATACACCCATGCGTGCTTCTGTAGATTGCTGCTCAAAGGGTTCTAATGTACAGTTTTCCCCCATACTTGTTGCCTATGGATAACTGGCACATGGGGTCTATGCACGTAAATGCTGTTGATTTGGGTGTATAAAATGTCTTGAGCAATTCACAGGAATAACAGAAGTCTTGCCAGCACGTAGTTGGTGGGACAACTAACTGCCAAAAGACAAAATTTCTTGATGTTGAGCCATTGAGTTTTGATGATCCCCGACGCTGCATGCCAGTGGACCGCTTGGCGTACTGGGTTGGGGACGTGGATTCATCCCTGAAGTCCGAAGAATATACAACTGCAAAATGTATGCTGTAGGACTGCATGCGAAGATGCTCAAATTCCCGGAGCAGCGCAGCCCGTTGCTGTCTAGCAACAAGCAATTAGTTGGGTGCGAAAGGTACTCGTAGCAAGCACGAAGACAGAAGCGAACCTTCACTTTTTGGCCAGTGTGAGACACATCTGCACAGCAGCAATGCACAAACTGCTAACGGTGTGGACTGCAGGATAGCTCATCTGGGGCACTTCCGATAGCCGAGGTTCTTAAATGTTACGGACTAGAAACCAATGAGCCCCAACTGGGGCGGCAGCTTGCTAAAGCAGCTATGATAGCTGCAGCCACGAGAGCAGCAGGTTCATTCTGCGTTGGCCTGTATATACTATTGGCCAAACGCGCATGCTGTAGCATACATTATTTGTTTTCACCCGGTCGCTGCTGCTAAGCGATGACATGGTGACAGGGAAAATCTAGCCACCGTTGCAAACACGAATAATGGCAAAACTCGATGATATCATCTTCACTTCATTGGTAAACTAAACGCTTAGAAAACAAGGGGAAGACCATATATTTGCGGTATCGTTTAGCCCTTCTGAGGTTTGCATCTGCGTATCAATTATTATGGGCAGTTGTGCAGTTTGTGCTTTCGTATGTGGTGGCAACAAACTACCAGTTAGTATCTCCTGTTTAATAGAAGAAAGAATCAAATGCACGGGGGGAACAGTCATCTGGCTTCTCATATTTTTGAAGGAGAAGTGAATAAGCTGTCCCCCCTTTCTTTGGGTGCTAAGGGCAAACGACCAGAACCATTACTTTCCAGATGCACTGCTATATTGCCCCCTTTGAGTTCTCCGGTAGCTCTTGTTCAGTTAACCGACAGGGCTTCACCATGACTTGAAGGGGTCTTTGTTGGGATCAACAGCTGGCGAATCGTCCTTTTCCTCGGGATACGACTCGAAGTTTGACAAATCATCTACACCCTGTAGCGAGCAAACAGCAAACAGTTCTACACAGGGTGCTTCCTGTTATATAACAAGGCGTACCTAACGAGCAACGAACCAGTGCCAACTATGCTGTGGTAGTCTTCCTCGCCTTTTTTTCAGTGTATGTTCTCGAAGAACTTCACTAAATCCAGCGGATTATGTGTTTCGCAAATCGATAGTATTTGGAGGAGAACAAGTAAGTGTGGTGTTTGAAGTGGTGAAAAGGCAAGAAGAGGTTCGGTTTACAAATCGATGAAGTGCAATATTCGAGGAAAGAGAAAGGTGTTTGAGTTATTAGCCGAAATATATGAGGGCATGCCGCAACCCACTTTGATTACAGGTTTAAATTCTGCAGGGATTCGCTTGGCTCGTATATCGTCGAAGGAGATAGTTGAAAACCATTTGCATTCTTTAATATCTCGCACGCCATCCTTAAGGTTTCCCCACCGCTTGCTGAGGTCAGCCTGGAGCAGCTTCCGCACAAGGAGCTTTGCATCCCTGTGCAAGCAACAGCCCAACAACAAGCGCTGCTCAAGAGCGTAAGAGAACTGACACTGTACGTCACATGTATAGAGTATTGGATATTCCTTGGTGGCGAACAGAAAAGCACTACAGCATACAGTCTATTTGTGTTGCATTGCTCCCCCCTTACTTGTCAAAAAACTTGGGGAAGACATATTTGCCACTGAGGATCTTTTGGTAGATCCCCAAAGGATCGTCGTCAAGGAAGGGAGGATAGCCGACAATCATTTCGTAAATAAGGATGCCCAAAGTCCACCAGTCCACGGGTTTCCCGTGGCCTGCAGGAACAGTGCAAAAAAGCGCAGGTAGAACTGTTTGCCCATTTTCCCGTCAAATGCACCTTAAACTGTGCTATCATTTACAGTGAATATTAATTTATACGTGGGTCATCAGGAAACTGCAGTGCGCAGTAAGCTTACCCTTGTTGAGTAACACTTCTGGCGCGATATACTCGGGGGTGCCACAAAGAGTATCCGTGCGGAACTCCACGACTTTGGCGAAGCCAAAATCTGTGAGCTTGACATAGCCGTCGCGGTCGAGAAGCATGTTTTCTGGTTTCAAATCTCTGGCAAAGTGTGGCAGAAGGAAGACTGAAAGTGGGCTAAATATGCAACACAGTTGCGTATTGCTCCCATCATCATACAGCTTGTAAAAAGTTCTCAACACGGTATTTGGGAAGACCCAAGGGTCACCTGTAAATGATGTTGTCTGCGTGCAAATAGTCAAATATGTCAACTATCATCGCGGCGTAGAATTTGGCTGTGTCGCTCTCAAAGCGTTTTTTCTTTCGCAGGTGAGTGAAGAACTCTCCACCTGCCAGTGCAGAACGAGCAAAACGCATATTCAAAGGAAATTCCCTTTAGGAGGATGGCTACAAAATCGCATACACCTTTTGAACACATGGCTCACAACTCTGGAGAGAGCCTTGCCTAGTGTGCACGAGCTGAAACGAATATAGGACAGACCGTAGTACACGTATCCACACAGGGCACAGAATTCCCGTAGAGTTTCATTACCTTGTACAAATTCCATCACAAGGTACAAATACCGCGAGTCTTGGAAAGTTCCGAAGCAGCGGACCTGTAGCGTAAGGGACTAAACATGCGAATACGTTCACCTGGCGACAGTTGAATTATTCAAACAATTACTACGAGGAATCGCACAAGAAAATGAAGGGAGCAGTCCTAAAGTCGTGTTTTGAGGCTGCTACTGGAATAGGTTCCACTCACCGTGAGTGGGTGATCTAGCCTCAAGAGAATAGCCTTCTCGTTAAGGATGTGGTCAACATGCTTTAACTTTATTATGCTGGCTTTTTTTAATATCTTGATTGCCACTCGTGGAGGGACTTGGGTTGTGTCCTCCAGAGAAAGGCCTCGTGATTTGAGATATTTAGCACACTTCACCCGCCCAAAGGACCCTGTGTGCACAGGGCACACCTTGCACTACCTTACAGAAAAGTGCAGTTTTTCTCTCGGTACTTAAGCACAATATCTGATTATTTGTCCTTCTCCTCTGCCTTCACCAGAGAATGCTCCACAGCAACCAAAATGAGGCGATGTGGCGTAACCGGCATTTATGGAAGGAGCCTCTTCTAGCTAAGTAGAAGGGTTAAACAAATGGAGCGACGTGATACAGCAACTGATGCATGGCAAAAGGGAGGGAAGGGCTACACCTCTGAAGCTCTGCAGTTTATCACTGCTAAAGCAACATCGAAAAAGAGGCCTAGCTTCAGGAAAAGACTGATCTAGCAACGCAGACAGGTGGGTACACTTCGTAAAAGAGGCTGAACAGAATCCCTAAACCTGAAGCTCTCAGTGCATCTCTCAAGTTAAAGTAACTCTGGTAAAACCAGCGTTTCCATCCTCCCAGCCACTTCGTGTATGAACATCATGAGTGTGCTTGGCACGTCGATTGAGAGTGGTGCTAGGGCGTCTGTAAAAACCAATAACTGGGGGCTTATGGGTTGCTGTCGCTGCTTTCACTGAAGCTTTGAGGGTTCCATGACGTGCGTTACCCATTACACCATCAGCTTTCTGTTCAGAGAAACTGGCATCATCTTCTTCTTTCTTCTTTGTCTGTTTGTATCGTAAGTAGTTAGCTGGAGGCCTGCCTGTCCTTGGCGCAAGGGGAACAGTGTCTAGTTTCAATCTGGAGCACAATCTGCTACTTTCTCTCTAACGGGTCATAACTACGGGCATTACACTTTCCATGAAGCCTTGCCTTAGGAGTACGAGACTCTAGGATAGCGGTTTGCTTGCAGCTGGGTTGCTTACCGGTGCCCAGGATCGGTCCGAACTCAAAAGCTTCCTTCCCCGTGTTGGGGGGCAGCATGGGTCTGCTCATTGTGCTTTGCTGGGTTTGGACGCAAGCTGCAGTAGCTATGTGCCTAGCTGCATCAAAGCCGTCTCACTCTCTCCCTAACCTGCGGAGGCGGCTGGGGCTTTGCTCTGCTTCCACCGCAGATCTGGGAAAGGACACCGGGGGCGTCGGGGGCTTTGCCTGCATTAGCCGGCAGCCTTCTACTCAAGCTGAGGACAGGCAGTATTGGCACTTCTCTGGGCTTTTTCCTGGGCACTCTGTGGACTGTTCTGAGCAGCGTTAAGAAGAAAAAATGCGCTGCGATAACAGCAAGCAGCCAGAAGGGGAAGAAAGGCTTATAAGAACATTCCCATCTGGGCGGGTCTAAAGAGGCCCTGCATACAACATGTCCGACAGACAAACCCTCTAAAAGACACCTGATACATCTTGCGACTGCCCCATATTTACTCAGCTCTCTCCAGATGTGCTGCAGCAACAGCCGCACCGCGGCTTCCGGGCTTCCAACTCTCTCCCTTGGTCCTGACCTGTTGCCTTCTTGAGTACAGCAACACTTTTAATAAAAGATAATAATCAGACTTCAACCTTGTGGACATAAGCTGGAAAACAAGACTCCAAACAATAGCCCGAATAAGTGGCGAGAAAAGGTGACCCTCGAGGCCTCATGGGGCGGCGCTTCCAAAGGGAACAGCAGAGCAGTCTGTTTAAACTTTACCCGTTTTGTTTATATAATTGACATGACTTACATTAGTGTGCTTTAACTCAAATATTTAATACAAATGGGATGGGAATAAGACCTTGTAAACGCAACAATCCGCAGAGCCTCGCTCCCTGCAACCACTTCCGACAAAGCGAGGGGAACCACTCCTTGGGCTGCTCCTTCTTCCTCATCTCTCACCGCCGCCCAAATAACCCAATTTAGCCTATTATTTATCATTATCTACTTCTTTAAAAGGTGTTCCTGAATGCTTGTTTCAATAGGACATCTATGGATGCTGCTGCCGTTGGTAACGCTGGCCAGGCGCTCGCGACCAAATCACCTCGGCAGAAAGCAGAGAAAACTGAGCGAATACAAAATATATCGTTCTATTATTGAAAAATACGGAATCTGAGAAAGAATGAGCGGCTCTGTGTGAGCAGGCTTCTGTTCGTTGGGGGACCTGCGAGCTGAGGGAGGGGAATTAATACCGGCAGTGGGAACGATGGCTTTTAATACACGAGTAGGAGCTGTCCGGTACATATGCTGCAACTTCAGCAATACATCAACAGCAGACAACTCAATGATTGTGCAAGTGCAACATTTCCTGCTGCTGCCTCTCCTGCAGACCACCCTGATGCCTCTGCGGGCAATTTGCAACCCCAGGCCCGCATCTGAGTAATGTAACTTGTACACTCTGCCAGCTTACACGTGTATTAACACGCATACATATACATACAACTACAAATATACATATGTACTTTAATGCATAGGTAAATACATACGCGTATACTCTATAGTATACACGCATGCAAGCAAATCTAAATCCCTGCCTGCCTTATAGGTGAGTGTATAATTAAGTAAATAACCTTGGGAAGGCCTGAGTATATCATTTTTACAATATATATGGGTCAATCACATGTTGTGGAGTGATCTGTTCGGGATGGCACGGTAAAAAGTTTGCGTCGAGAAGTAGGTTGTTTAAAATGTGAATGGCAGGAGGATGAATGAGTCAACTCGTTGTTAAAAGAAAATGCAAAGCAACAAAAAGGCAAGGCTCAGAGAAGAGACCCTGTTGCCTCCAGCAAAGGCAACAGTAGTCCGCCGCACTAGTCCCTCATATAAACAAACAGTGCACACCCACACCCACACTCACCCATATATATATATATATATATATATATATATATA